AGAAGGTGACATTTAGGGCCAGTTCTGAAAGGATGGAGAAGAGTTCACCATAAAGACGAGAGAAAGTGGGAAGCAGAGGAACTGTAGATAAGAGGCGTGTGACTGAATGGAGAGTCAGGGAATGAGGAATCCTCACCAGTGTGACACAGAAGAATCAAGGAACAAGAGACAAGACCAGGATAGTAACCTGTTATTTTGACTAAACATATTAGACTAAAAAAACCTAATTTTTATTTCACAGGCAGTGGGGAAGCAGCCAAGGTTATAAACAAAACTTATAGGATTAGATCTTTTTTATATCACATTGGAGGTCCTAGAGGTTAAGTTTGGAAGAGGTGGGACTGGACCCAGGAAGAGCACTTAGGAAACAGAGAGATGAGGAATGATGAGGTCCTCCCCTGGGGTATTGTATGATAAGTGTTAGAACATGTTAGAACATGCCAATAATATTTGTTACCCATTAAAAAATTAACCCAGTATTCATTCATCAAAGTTAATTAGTATGCATTATATATTGGTTTCTAATATTTTCAAGACTTAGAGTGACATGGAAGTGATAACACATTGCCCTTGCTTTGTAAGTAACTCACAGTCTAGTCAAGACCAAACTAGGGCAGGAAAAGCAAAATAACAGGTTAGTATGTTAAGAATCAAATGGGTATCATGTATCATAGTGAATGGGCACAATAAGTTAAAAAGAGAAAGCAACAAGGATTGGCTGTGGTTGTCTGGAAGAGGTAGAATTGATAAAGATGGGTAGAATTTGAAGAGGTATAAATTCACAGATAAGTAAGACAGATGGGTAAGTAAATTTCCACATAGTGTGATTCATAATAGAGATGTACTTGAGGATCACAGGGAAGAGAATAGATATCAAGTTTGTGATAAGGAGAAAGATTAAGAAAGGTGTGCTAGAAAGGAATCCTTTCAGCTGGGTTTCAGTGGAGAAGTAAAACAGCTCGATAAAAAAGAGAAAGATCCACAAAGGGATAGGCACAGGGACATTAGAGCCTCAGTATGTTTAGGCATATGTGTGTGACTACCAAATATTACATGATTGAAATTAAGGATGAGTTTTTGGGAAAGGCAGGAAATGAGGCTAAAGGAGGTAGACAGGATTCGGCAGATAATAGCCCTAATGTGCTAATACAAAGAGTATAAATACTATTATGGAAGGACTTGGGGTGAGTGTTTAAGCTTAAGGAGGAGGAGAGACATGGTTCAATTTGTATTTTAGAAAGATCACTCTAGAAATAGCACAGAATGACTTTGAGGTGTATGACTGGAGTGGTGTCACTAAGAGAATATAAGAAAAGCAGATTAAGGGGAAAGATTTATGAATTTCAATTTTGGATGTGTTGACCTTGAAGTATGTATTTATTAGTGTCTATGGCTACAAATTACAACAAAACTTGGTGACTTCAAACAGAAATTATTTTCTCTTAGTTCTGGAGGCTAGAAAGTAGAAGTCAGCAATGTTGATTGCTTCTAGAGGCTCTGAGGGAGGAACTGTCTTTTCTCCTAGCTGCTGGTGGCTGATGACAGTTCTTAGAGTTCCTAGCCCAGTAGTCAGATTGCTCCAATCTCTCTGCCTGAGTCTTTCCATCATATACTTTGTGTATACCCTGTCCTCTCCAAAGATATGGGAGGAGGCCATATCTCTAAATCCAAGGTCATGGGCCCATACCTCTAAAACCAAGGTCATCTTTTTTCGCTCTGCAGTGCCAGGGATTGAACCCAGGGCTTTGTGTATATTCCATAAGCATTCTACCTCACAGCTACAACCCTAGCCACGGGTAATCTTATCTAGAGATCCTTAACTTAGTCTGTGTCTCAAGCCATTCAAGATGCTATAATAGAACACCACAGACTGCGTGGCTTATTAAACAAGAGAAATTTTATTTCACCCAGTTCTGGATTTGGGGCAGACTAAGATCAAGGTTTGGAGTCTGATGACAGCACATTTTTTAAATTCATAAATGGAAACTTATCAATATGTTCTCACATAGTGGAAGGGACATATGAAAAATCTTGGGCATAATATATAAGGGCATTAATCTCATTCATGAAGGTTTGAATTGGTTCCCCAAATTTTACGTGTTGGAAACAATCTCCAAGTCAATAGTGTTGAGAAGTATGACCTGTAAAATGAGTAGGCCATGAGAGTTTGGCTTCAGAAAGGATTAAGGATTATCTTGTGAAATTAAGTTATCTCAGGGGTAGACTCCTTGTGAAAGGATAAGGATGGCCCCTTTCTTCTCTTGCCCCCTTGCCTTTCTCACCTTTTGCCATCCTATGGTGGATGTGGGATGATGCAGCAAAAAGGTCATCATCATATACAGCCCTCTCAACCTTGGACTTCCCAACATCCAGAAACATAAGAAATAAATCCCAGGTATTCTGTTATAGCAGTATGAAATGGAACAAGACATCTCCCAAAAGCCCCGTTACTTCCCAACGTTCCACTTCCCAGTGCAATCGTATTTGGGCTTAGGATTTAAACATGAATTTGGTATTGGCAGAGGCACACAAATATTCAGCTTATAGCAAAAACCCTATTTTCCACAAAGATCACAAAAATACTGAGGGTTTCATGTCTTGGATATTACTTTTTTGAGGGACATTATGCAACCCACTACAAAGTGAATGAGAGGATAAATATATTCATAGTCTGCTTCATACTGGGGAGTATGGGCTGTAGAGCTCTGCTTTGTGCTTCCAAATTTAATAACATACAATAGGCAAAGGAAATACAGAACGAAAGGCCATGTTGTTTGACAGAAACAGTAAAGATTTGAGTAAGATGAACATGAGTTCAATCTTAGCTCTTTCTTCATTGAAAACTTGGTCAGTCATTTAACTTCTACAAGCCTTGATTTCCTCACTTGAAATATCGGGACCTATCTCATAAGACTGCTGTGAGAATTATAGAGACATTAACAGGCACACAGTGGTCTCTAAATACCGTTATGTCAAATAAAAAAGTTTGAAGATAATATACTTGATATTGCTTATGTTAAAGTTGTGATTGTATAAATGAGTTGGATCTCTTCATAAAGGACAGAGATTGGCATCAAGGACAATAGTGAGACAACCTATCAGAGACAAAGATCAACAATGAAGAATCCAAGAGAGGGTGATCTTCAGATAGCCAAAGGAACATTTGGCTTCAGGAAAATTTGCTGTAAGGGAGGTATCTGTTATCAGAACCCAAGTGGGAGCAACCTTGGCAAAATCAAGGCAACACTTTCTAGTCTTAAAACTGGAATATTAGGCATATTTTGAATAAATGTAATAAGCTTCATACTGTAGCAGGCATTGGAGATAAAAGGATGAGACATAGACATACGATGCAATCTGAAGTATTACACAAGGGTAAGAATAGAGTTAAGAGAACTCCTAAAACAACCCTTGAGAGCCTTGGAAGGGTTTGAAGAGAATGAGACATTTGGATGGTCCTTGAGGGTAAATAAAGAGTATGTCATCCAGAGAAAGGAGAAGGACTTTACAAATAGAGGAAAAAGAAGCAATGCATACAAATTAAGGGATACCTTTCCAGATTCAGAAACAGAAACTCAGGAACAATCAAAAGCCCAGTTATCCAAATTTATGAATGAAAACAGAGCCAGGCTATTAACAGAGATTTAGTGTTGCCTCCCAAAGTCTCTCTCTCTCTCTCTCTCTCTCTCTCTCTCTCTCTCTCTCTCTCTATATATATATATA